TATTCAGCTTTCAGATGATGCATACATCTCAATTTCACAAAATTGACCCTTATGACCGGTTTTGTGCTCCAGGGTCACATATACAGTATAATTATAGCATGTATGAATAGAGTGACCATTCAACAGCAAAGTATCACTACAATGTTTTTTTATCAGTGAAGCACATAATAAAGCTGATCTGTGTTTGTGCTGTTGCTGTAGGCTCCTCTGTGTGTGTTTACCGCGGTGAAGGCTCTCTCAGCATCATGCCTCCTCAGCTGCCGTCTCAGAACCAGCCCAGCGCTCGTGTGCTGCAGGGAGATCTGGCGTCTCTGAGCGCGTCCCTGCGAGACTTCATCGAGAGCAGCGTGAAGCTGTGTCAGCCGGACGCTCTGCACATCTGCGACGGCTCCGAGGAGGAGAACCGCTCCATTCTGCGTCTCCTGGAGGAGCAGGGGGTCATCAAGAGACTCGGCAAATACAACAACTGGTACGAGCATCTGATTCACACGAGTAACGTTTAATTACACTGTTATTAACTCTGTTGCTCAACTCCACCACTGGATAAAAAACATGCTTTTTATCTCACAATTCTGACTGAGAGAAAAAGTCAGAGTTATAAGATGTAAACTCACACTTCTAAGGGGGAAAAAAAAAACAATTGCATGATGATAACTAAGAATTATAAGGAATAAATACATACATTTAACATGTAATCTCAAAATGGTCAGAATTAAAAAAAAGTCAGAATTGTACAATAAAAAAACTTTTTTTAGGATGAAGCAGCTTCGTGGTGCCAAAATAAAATCTTCTGCTACAAATTACATCAAAAATGATCTGATTTGAAGTGTTTTCTAATGTTTCTAGTTGGTACTGGGCCACATCATATTTTGATATACTGTAGTTATGGACATTAACTGGCAGTATAGAGTTATTCATAAGTAATAGAGCTGCTTCGTCATTGACAAACAATAGAAGACATTTGCATGTAGGGTTGTAGGAAAAAATCACTATCCCGTTACAATGTGAGAAACTGTTGCAAGTGATTCAGTGCGTTAACAGCGTTTGTTGAACTGTGTTCTGATTTACACGACACAACAAATGCAGAAATCACTGCTGCATGAATATGAGAGTAAAGTTTAATTACACTGTTGCTCAGCTCTGGGTGATCATGTGGAAGCCTGTTTCCACCGCAGCATAAAACAATAGCTTTTTATCTCACAATTCTGAGAGAAAAAGACAGAATTGCATGTAAACACGCTTCTAAGGAGGAGGAAAAAACAATTGCATGATGTTAACTCAGAATTATGAGTGAGAAATGTAGGATATAAACTCAAAATTGTCAGGAAAAAAGTAAAAAACTGCTTTTTTATATCTGACCTTTTTTTATAGAATTTTATAAAAGTAACACACCTTTGTTTACGTTTGTGTGTTGCTCGGCAACCACTTTGTAGCAACCACAACTGTTTCTGAGGAGCTACATTGTTTGGTGGAAGAATACTGTTTTTATTAATATCATTACACTTTATTTGCTCTGTTTTATTTTGTGAAACCTTACTACGTATATGGAATAACCGTTTTATAAAAGCAATAACCCCCGTGAAGCCGTGGTTTACAGTGAATTTATAACAGCTAAGAGGGTTTTAGGCTCTGCTTCGCCCCTTAGCTGTTATAAATTCACTGTAAACTTCACGGGGCTTATTGCTTTAATTGATAATACTTCACTAGGGCACCTGGGCACGGCATGTGTAGCTCGTGCATCAGTAAAAATAGATTTAAATATCCCTTTTTACAGATTTGTCAAATGTGTGATATTCAGGCTGAGTAAAGACTGAAGAGTGTGTGTGTGAGGGTCAGATCTCTGGTCTGTTTCTCAGCTGGC